TTCCTTTCCTTTCCTTTCCTTTCCTTTCCTTTCCTTTCCTTTCCTTTCCTTTCCTCCTCCCTCCCTCCCTTCTCTCTCTCTCTCTCTCTTTCTTTCTTTTTCTTTCTCTGGAGTATCCCTGATTTTCTGCTTTTGAAATTGAAAAAACATTTCATTTGATCGGTTTTATGGGCATTTTAACACGCACGTCTCTCAGTGAGTTTTGTTTTATGTGCTGCTAGATTGGGAAAAGAAGCCAAGAAATGCTGCACAAAAATAAACAGCCCATGTCACTCCTTCCTGAAAGTTCTGATATTGCAAGGAAGATGGGGTAATTTTTGCTGTACTCCAAAAATTATTTCCTTCAGTTAGTCTCAGCTTATTACCATACTGCTGAGGCCAAAAAGGCAAGACTGGAATTCAGGCTCCTGCTGTTCTCCAATGAGAATTGTTCCCCTGTCCCCCTCCCTCCCTACTTGCTCCCCCTCCTGCAACCAAGAAGGCCGAGAATGACAAATGCACAAGGGGAATGTCATTCAGACCTGTGTAATATTCATCAACTTCTTCCAGCCAAGCGTAATTTCCATTAATAGAGAACTGGAATTCTTGTCCCAAAATAGATAGCTCTGTGTTGATAAGGGCCAGCTGGAGGGAGTAGATCTTCGCAGTCCAGGTCTGGGCAGAGAGCTCTGGGACGGCTCTGGAACAGGACATGTCGGAACGCCAAGTGCCCTTCACTTTCCTACGCAGCCCCAGCTGGGACTGGTACAGGGGCAGCAGGCTCTTGGATCAGTCTTTTGGGATGCCACTTATTCCCGAGGACTGGTACAAGTGGCCTGCAGGGACCACCAGCTGGCCAGGCTACGTACGGCCTCTGGTCAGCTCAGGTCCAGAGCCAGTGGCCGCTAGCCCCGTTGTCAGCTCGCCAGGGGCCAGCCCTGCCTACAACCGGGCTTTGAACCGCCAGTTGAGCAGCGGCGTCTCTGAGATCCGGCAGACTTCAGACAGCTGGAAAGTGGTTTTGGATGTCAACCACTTTGCACCAGAAGAGTTGGTGGTGAAGACAAAAGATGGTGTGGTGGAAATCACTGGTGAGTAGCTTTTCTTTAGATCCCTCAAACATCTCCCCTCTCCAAGTCGGTTCTCCAACAGCCTTTGCTTCCACAGCATGGTCCAGTGACTTTGAGCCGAACTCCAAGGTCACTTAACTGTTTCTGCAATGCTTTTGTGAATCGCTGGGGTGCATAAGGAGGTTTACACTTCATAAACGATAGGCTGAGATATACAG